GCACTACATAAATAGATAAAAAATAACACTGCACTAGAACTTGAATACATCCTAGTTTGGGTTTTCAACCTTGGGTTAATCACTAAATTTCTGTCTGTATTTTCATTCACTCAAACAGAAAGTATTTACATTTATATGACCTTGACTGTACATGGGAATCAACTGGGGAGATTTTGTTTAAGTCTCTTGGCCACTGAGACCCTGATTTAATTGGTCTTGGGGTAAGGTGTTGGCATTAAAAATAAATAAATAAACCTCCCTTGGGATTTTCATGTCTTGCCAAGGCAGGAAACACTGGTCTTTTCATCTTATGCATATATGAGGGACAATAAAATGACGCAGAAAGCCCTCCCTTCCTTCTTCTTTTGAAACTTATCTATTTCCCTTAAGTCAATATTGTTTTAGTTCATTTTCCAACCACTGCTTAATTAGCAGAATAGCATCTCAGCTATTTTTAGCTCAACTACCGATTCATTAGCAGAATAACATCTCTTCTATTTTCCCTTCTTCATGTCTCTTCTCCATCCAATAAACCACCTCATGCTTGTCTAAATAATCAATTTGGTTCTGAAACATTAACCCACTAAGAGTCATTGTAAATACAATGTAACAATGAAATCAAGCAGAATTATTTTAAAGAAGATAGCTAGTATTTTAATATACATGTTTGTGTATTGTGTATGTATAACCTCAAATATATTCAGTTTCTTCATATCTAAGGTGCCTACTTTCATATACATAAAATGAGCATGATATCTGTATTCAAAAATACTGCTCCTAAATACTGAATTAATACATTTTGTCAAAAGAAAGGACAAGTAACTCACATACTGATATCATTTAAATGAAACTGAGTAATACCACAAAACCTATTTGACTCTATCTGATTTTGTTATAATCTCAAAAGGAACATACATTTGAATGACAAAAATTTTAAACGATTGGCTTCCCTTTCCTTTTGAATTTGTCATTCTATCTATTTTAAATAAAATCACCTTGTTCTAATTACTTCACAAACAAAAATTTTTATTTTTTATAAACACAGCCAGTTTAAGGAAGCCGCTCAAACACTTGCCCAGTCACAAACCCTCAGTGAACTGCCATACAGTTGGAATGGCCATTCTTAAGTGACATGACAGAGCTTCACTTAGGATTTTATACTTTTATTATCAGTTACATTTTTATTCACTTGTTATGACCATCATTCACTTGTCCACTAAAAAATTTTGCAAAACTATTACAGACTGAACTGTGAAAAGAAAAAATGTGTTTAAATCTTCTTTCATGACTCGTGATTTATTTACCTGCATTCCATCTTTCTTCATTACCCAATATTAGCCTCTTTGTCAACTTTCTTAATGCTACAACTCTACACATACTTACAGCAGTTAACATATATACACATACACATTGTAGGCTAGGAAATAAAATTGCTAGTGAACAAATGGCCTAAGTAGATACTGTTTTCAAAAGAAAAAACACAAATGGCGTGTATTTTTTAAAGTACTTAACATCCGTATTCATTGGGGAAATGCAAATTCAAACTAGTTTGAGACTTCACCTTATCCCAGTTATAATGGCTATCATCCAGAAATCTAGCAGCAAATGCTGAAGAGGACAGGTTTGTGGGGATGGGGGGAGTAAAAATTATTCACTGCTGATAGAATTAACATTAATACAGCACTTATGGAGATTTGCTTGGAATTTCCTCAGAAATTAAAACAAACAAACAAAAACACCATATGACCCAGCTATATCATTCATGGGCATATACTCAAAGGAATCTGTACCACGTAGGGAGTTGTACATCCATGTTTATTGATGATGTATATACAATACCAATGAAATGGAACCAACCTAGATATCCGATTACAAATGAATAGATAATGAAAACGTGACACACATACACAATAGAATGTTATTCAGCTTTTCAGAAAAATGAAATTTGCAGGCAAATTAATGGGCTTGGGAAGCATAATATTAAACATGATAGCCAAAACTCAGGAAGAAAATCTGCAATCCCCTCATATGTGCACCACAGCTTATAATAAAGCTGAGTTATTTTGAGAAATCCTACTAAGTGGTTGCTTATGCCTATAATCCAGTGAGACTGAGTCAGGAGGATTATCTGAAGTTCAAGGCCAACCTGGGATACAAAATGAATTGAGTTCTAGCCTGAAATATAGAGTCTGTCTCCAAAAAAGTGGGTGTAGGAGCAGGGGAAATGAGGTGAGTAAAGACTTGTCAACAGCATGACAACTGGAGTCCAGGTCCCCAGAACCTATATAATGGACAGACACAGTAGCTCCAGTATTTGTAATCCCAGCACTCCTTTAGGGAGATGGAAGAGACAGCAGAGTCCCTGGGAGCTCATGGGCCAGCTAGCCTGGAATGCTTGGGAGCCGGGAAACCCTATCCTAAGGTAGAAGGTAAGAACTGATACACAAGGCACTCCTCAGACGACCACAAAAGCTGGTCATGGCACCCATGTGCTTGCATTCATATGTGCATGTTTGTGCAAAAGGGTAGCACACACAAAGGAGGAAGCAGGGAAAGAATAAAAAAGAAAAGGAAAGAAACTCACAAAGACACCTTCCTCAGTAAGTAATATGCTTGTCAGGCAAGCATGAGTATCTAAATTTAATACCCAGAATCTATGAAAGAAAGAAAAAATACTGGGCATCATTGTTTATTTGTAACCCCAAAGCTGAAGAGAAGAAGACAGAGGGATTCTCAGTGTTCTCAAACCAGCCAGCCTAGCCTACTTGATAATTCCAGAGCATTTAGAGACCCTGTTACAAAAAAAAGTAGTACTGCAACTTAGGTTGACCTCTAGCCTCCACTCTCATGTACACGTTTACATATGCACCTTGGCACACACACAAGTACACACTTCAAAAGATGTACCATATAAACACTTGTAAAGATTATGATGGAAGGGATCTGGGTATGGAGAGTTTTTGAACAGCATGTGCAAAACACTGCACCACCAAATACAAAAAGATGGTGGTGAGTAACTGTTTACCAAGAACAAATATGGTTCTGAGTTGTGGTAAAACTTGCCTCAGGAAACCAAGCAAAGGAAGGCTTACAGGGAAATGGTTATAACTGAATAAAATGATGGCCATGATTGTGAGAAACGTCATTATACAATAAGAGCAGTAGGGAATGGGAACACTGAACAAGTATATGCCTTTAAAGTTGCTCTCCATATCCTCAGGGAGAGCAAGGCACAATATAAAAGAAAAATGAAGCCAGTGGTGTCAAATAAGTAGTAAAGACAATAAGTACCCTGGGAATTCAAAGAAATGGGAGACTGCTATTGATTATGGAAACAGCCTTTTGGAAAATCTTATGCATGCAGACAGCCTCAAATAATGATGAGGCAAAATTACACAAAATATATACGAAAGGGGCAGGAAGCTGACCTAGTTGAAAGAGATGGTAGGAACATTTGTGGAGATAAGGTTGCAATAATTAACCTGGGCCAGACAGTGACAGCCTGAAATGTCTAGCTCTGGTGCTTAAACTTTGTCCTACAGGTAGAAGGAGCCTTTGTGGGTTATAAAGAAGAGTAAGGAAAAAAATATCCCTACAACGATGCATCCTGGAGCCATTTTTCTTGAAGGTTCAGAAGCACACACCAAGGAGCACATCTGGCCAGTATCTAGGCATGAGTCTGTGAATAGTGTGCTTGGGAAATCTGTTCTGAGTAAAGGTGTAAACATTCAAACCTGTTTTCCACAACCAAAATCCGGTATTGATTATGCATTCATAGTTACTTGGATACTGCCTAAGAGAATTACTGAATAGGGAGCTTCAATCTTAGACTGTTTCCTCCTCTTGCAATCCCCTGCCATTGCACATATCCTGATTTGATGTCTAGAAACTGTGTGCACTAAAATTATCTTGTGTGTAAATAAGGTGGTTTACTACTTCTCACTATGCATGAATTTACTATGTTGCTTCAAAATCACTACATCAATTCAAATATTTTGGTGCATAATTTATTTCAGCAGAGGAGATGAGACACATCAACAAAACTTAAAGATTGTGAAAAGGAAAAAAAAAAAAAAAACAACTCCCAGCAAACCTAAACAAAGCTAAAATTAAGGAGCACTGGTTTAGAAGGAGAGTGAATTCCCAACATCAACAAAATGCCAGCCACAACAAAGACTAACACAGAGTATAGGATAATCCATTAAACATCAGCTCCACAAGAAATGGATTTTTTCTCAAAAACAAATGCCCAAACATGTTTATTTTAGTTTCCTGCAATAATGATCCAAACTAAGATCAATCAAAACTGGACTACCTTTCACCCAGTAACCAAACACATAAGTGAATGATGATTTAATTTGCTAGTGTAACAAGCACTAATCTAACCACATCACCTCTCAACACCAGGAAATTGAAAAAAATAAAAATAAAATACAACTCACTCTATAAGGCATAGGTGAGAAAAAAACGGAGACAAAAACATCTTAAGATGATTAAACAAGTCCACCTTAAGAACACAGAGGAACAGCAAGCCCTTACTCTGAAAAGGACTATGCCATTCTTGCAGGCATGGATGCCTCCTTCAAGGAATATGTAGAGATTATGATTTTCTGCATTGTCTGTTCCCAACTCCCCTCGCCCCCCCCCCCTTCTACTCATGGTTGAGATAGGGAACGACAGGACCAAGAGTTGAACGAAGTGCATTAAGGAAGGTGTCACTAAGACCCTTCAGCCTGCATGCAACACTCTTTAACAATAATGCCCCTCACATCCCAGCCAGCTACTCCACCATCCCTGGGCTGCTGGCGCCCCTCTTTCCCGCTGCCTGCATTGCCCCTCACAGTCAGAGGAGGCTGCTAGGATTCACGGACTCCCGCCGCCTCCGCGCGCCGGCCCAGCAGAGTCCGACAAGGCAGCCACGCAGCTACCCACTCCCCATCCTCCTTCCAGGCCCCGCTTCCCCTCCCCCCACCTCCCACCCCCCACCCCCGGCCTGTCACCTGCTTGGGTGGTGTCCGTCAGGTCGTAGCCGCTGCCGGGGAAGTCTCTGAGTTTCCTGCCACTGAGGCTTAGGATGCCAGAGTTGCCCGCCTCCTCCAGGGCCCGGTCCAGGCTCCTCACGGTGTGCTGAGGCTGCAAGCTCCCCGGGTGCCACTGCGGCCCATTGGGGAACGGCTGACCGAAAAGAGTCGGTACCGGGATGGGCACCGCCACGGTCCCGCCACAGCCGCCACCACCTCCCGCCCCGGCCCCGCCACCTCCTCCTCCACCACCACCTCCTCCTCCAGTCGCGCCACCGCCGCCGCCACCGCCACTTCCACCTCCACCGCAGCCGCCGCCCCCACTGTTCCCACCGCCTCCCTGACTCGCCGCCATGTTCCTGGGAGAGAGAATAGCCCCCGACAATACTCGGAGTCTGGGCCGCGAGTGGAGGGGATTCTTAGGACGCATGCGCAGGCTGGGGGTGGGAGGGGGGGCGAGAGAGATGGTGGGAAGGAGCCCTGGGCCAGTGGCTAGGAGGTGTTGCGCACACACAAGAGGACGTTGGAACGTGCCCAACGTTTGTTTAAAGAAAACCGAGGATCCAAGGAAGGATGCAAAATCCAGAGTGGGCTGCTTTGGGTACCAAAATCTTAGCGAAGAGGTACCAGGGTAACCGGAGGTTGCTCGGGCTCTGTGCCTCCTCTCCCTGCTCCCAAATCCCTCGGATTGCTTCGTCTTCTCGTTCTGTAAAACAAAAACAAACAAAAAATGTAAAGTGGGGATAAAAAAGACTCCTTTCAAGATGTATAGAAACAGCTCATAGGAGGATTGGGAAGCAACCGTCTGAGAAACTTCCATGCTAATAAACTAATAGAAACATTGGAAAGAGAAATGAGTACAACAGGGAGGATGAGGCATACGTGGATTCCGCTATCCTTTAGAAGCCCAAAGTAGGGAAAGACCGTCGATGTTCTCAAGGCAGCTTCTCTTCACAGTGAGTCCCAGCCAATATGCTGCCTTCCAAACATGGTAGAAGAGCTCTCCACATTCTGCTCTCTTACTCTTTGAAGTTGTTCCCAGAACTCCAAAAGATCTCCAGTTTCTTCTCATCATGTCAGTATTGGATGATAAGAACGCTTTGATCATCAAATAATCTTAGAAAATATTTTTTTGGAATACAGGTTCTGGTTTAAATGGAATTCTGGCGACTTAATGCTGGGAATTTGAAGCCCATCAATCTTGGGGTTTAGGAGTTCCTTCTTACAGCTTAAAGAGATGTTTAGTGTAGAGGCCAATGAAAGCTGAAAGTCATTTATGAGGTAGCTTAGGGCCTCCATAATCTGACCCAATCTATTTAGAAGCTAAGAAGTGAGCCATTGAAGCTGCTGCTCCAGTTCCCACTATCTGTACCTCTCCCAAAGAGTCATTCAACTCCTTTCACTAATACTCAATGAAGTTACTGCAGAAAACAACCAGAATGCTTTGGCATGTCCCTTTATCACTAATTTCAACATTTGTGTGTGCATCATTCACATCGTTGTGAATTTGAACAATGTACCACACAGTCTCAGAGAAAATTCTGTCACAAGAAAATTGATCTGCCTTAGACTATACTTTGAAAAAACAATACAGGGAAGAAAAGCCGTTCCTCTGGGTGGCTTTGTGGGCATAGATGGTTAATTTAAATGATTATGCTAAGAGAGAAAAGTAGAACTTAAACTAAACTTTATACTGGGAATTAGCGAGTAAAACGGATTTACTAAACACAATGGTAAGAGAGGGGAATTTATCTCAATACAGAATATTTGCCTAGCAAGTGCAAGGCCCTGGATTTGATAACCAATACTACACAAAAAGACCCCAAAACATCCCACCCCCTTTTTTTAAATTTCAGGTTGTATTTTGTCACTGCCCAGACTGCTATCTCAATCAGTGTATTCCGCAAACCTGCTTTCTTCCAAAGAAATAAATGGACCTTCTATCACAAAGAAATAATGCGTCTTATAATTTTTATCCCTTGTATTTCAAATCAAACCAAGGGTCAATTGAGAAAGTCTGTAACTAAGAAGAATAGAGAAAGAAACTCTAAATTCATTAGTAAGGAAAAATTAGAAAAGGAAATATTTTTAAGAATTCCCCAGGAGCTGGCTCAGTAGTTGAAGGCTTCCCTAGCATATGGGAGATCTCAGGTTTAATTCTTAGCACTACAAAATAAATAAATGATACTAGGGCGATAAGAATTTTTGAAGTTATTTACAACAGTGCTAAGGTTCTGGTATAAAGATGTCCTGAAGATAAGGGTATTTATTAAGTTTAAAGGACCATGGACAAACAAGTTTAACAAGGAAAATAGCCTTCTAAAGAAGTAAAAGACAGTCTAAGCAAGAAGCATGTGAAACATACAAAGTTCTCTAAACATACATAAATACCAGGAATAATAACATTTGTAAAACTGTTTGACAAGAACATCGAGTTTCAAAAGAAGTTAATAGATTTAGAGCAATGGCTATGAAGTTCAGAAAATTGTTCCAATCTCTTAACTTCCTGTATATTTGCAAAATGAAGTCTCTGTGCTTCGATGTCTATATATAACATTAAATAATAATACTCAATAATATGAATTAAATAGGGTTTGTCGCTGTTACAGAATATTGTTCTCTGATCATACTAGCCATTACCATTTTAATCAGAGTAGTTAGAGTTACACACAAGAAACTCCAATACCCCAGCCTGTTGATGTTCCCTCATGCAAAAGGAAGACATGAGAAGGGCCATCAGATCCTCACTGAGATTCTTTTCACTCTTTCTTACATCGCACTCCTAGTTATATGTAATTCTCCCCAAGCTGCACAAGATCTCAGGGAAGAGCTACCCAGCTAAGTCGAAGGTTAATAGAAAGGGGAACACCATCTATACAGCTGCAGGAAAGGCATCAACTATCCTGTGTGTGTATGCATGAGTGCTTGCGGGTATGATGCCAAGGACTGAACACAAGGCCTTATGCATACTAGGCTCACACTCTACAGTGAGTTATATTCCCGGTCCTCATTTAACATTTCAATTTTAGACATGGCTTAAGTGGCCCAGGCTCATTTAGAAAATGTGATTCTTCTGCCTCAGCCTCCCAAGTTGCTTGCGCTGATTTTTTTTTTAAACACTGAGTAAATAAATCTAAAGGGCCTTTAAATCGGAAGAGCCACACAAGACTTTAAAATGCAGTTTCTTTTATAGCTGCAAGTCTTGTGTGTTTGTAATTATGGAATTTATGATGACACTAGTAAACCTATTGGGATAGAGAAGGAAGTATCAAAGGACTGCCTGTTACGCAGGAGTGCTTGGAAGCCACAGTTTTGTAATATTCTAGAAGCATTTGTTTTACTGAGTCAGTTAGAAATCACAACTCTCAAACACACCACAAGGTTTGGGCAAATATAGACATCATAAGGACATTTACTTAAGCTTCGGTACTTTGTCTACAATTATGGCATGAATCCACAAAGCAAAGGAGTGTGGATGGGATGAGATGACTTCATGTTTCATAGGTATAATTAATGTAGAAAACGGCAGATTTTCCTTTCGATTCTGTGGGTTTTTTGTTTTGTTTTTTGTTAAGATTCTATGAAAAGAGCTGAAGCTGGTCCTTAAATAATAAAATAGATAATTCTGAAGTACTAGTCTCACGAATACACCCCCTGCCACCCTGCCTTCTTAAATGCTAAACCTAAGCTTTTACACTGGCTTTGCTGTTGAGCCACGTTTTCAGGCCAACCAAAGTCTCCACTCACATATCCACTTCCCTTCTGTTTCTCTTACATATTCCTTAATGAAACTGTCAACTTAAATACTATTATTTGATGCAAAATGATTATTTAGTGATGTGTACACAAAGTTACAGAGAAGGTATGTTTTTTTCTTACTAGCTGGTGGGAGTCTACTGATCAAAAGTGATATTCTTGCCATAGGTTTGTGAAACTAAGGATGTAAATAAATGTTCTACACTAATTCTTCCACTACCATAACCTTCATTCAAGTTACTGTTTGCTTGGGATTTTGTTAGGCCCCTTTCTTCTTTTTCTATGTAATAACTATGTGGGTTTGACCAAGTTACCTCTCTCTGTGCTTCTATTTCCTTATCTATAAAATATGGATGAAACCATTGGGAAGGATATGGGAGGATATCGAGTATTGCTGTCATGATTCTGATCTACTTACTAGAAATGTTCTATATCAAAAGGTAAATTATCTCTTAGGATTTCACAAAAGACCTGTAAGGAGAGCATTATTGGTAAGAAGGTTTTAAAACTCCAAAAACTAGCATTCAGCTAAGTTGGGTAACATGTCTAAGGTCTCAGCTGAGAAGTGACAATGTGACAGTTTAACTAGAAGTATGTCTCAGTCCTAAACCCAGTGTCTAAGCACTGGAACCCTAGCATAACCTGTCTACATTACTGTCTTTTATCCATCCAGATGTCCTTAGTTGTTCACCTAACGCTTTCCAAGCCATGCCCAAATAATGTGATGGCCACTTACAACTTGGTATGTGGATGGATGATATATATATATATATATATATATATATATATATATATGGGAATAAGGAGGTTTATGGGTTTATGGAAGGGTTTGGAGAAAAGAGTGTAAAGCAGGAAAGGATGCAGTTATAAACTCAAAAATTTTTTAAAGAACATGGGTAAATTTAACAATGACTACACCTCTGAAGGAAGTGTCTCTCCCTCGTTCAAGAAAGATTAACTGCCTATAGATGCTAAAGGCAGACTGTGGGCACATTACTTCTTACCCCTAGCAAAAGTTAACTGTCCATAAATAAAGGTTCTTTTGTTTTGATAAAGACTTATCCGTAATCTTTTCTTTTGCAATCAAAGGCAAGTACTTGCCTGTAATATTTTATATATGTTCTTTTGGATTTTCCCAAGGACATGAAGCATTGTTTTATTCATTAATTTTATTTAGAATAGCATACTATAAGCAGTCATCTTAATTGTTACACATACTTTACTAATATAAAGACCACATGCAGTATATAATATGTCACATGACCATATACTGCTTGACCTGTGTGTTCGCAGACACTTATTACCATAATCTTGCTAAGAATCATTTTATTCTTTGAGAAAGGCAAGAGATCATCCCTGGCTTGTAATCCATCCAAGAAAATAAAACAAGAACCACAGTTTCAGAGAGAGGCTTGGCCTCAAATGAATAATCATTGTGTGACAGAAGAAGACCTCTCCTTTGTACATACACACAGACACACAAACAAACACACATACACAACACACATTTGTGTGCATGCATATACTCACATACATGAATACATAAATAATATTACTTCTGAGATATTGGGAAGAACTAGATTAGTAAATATAATAACAACCTCTGGTACAATATTTACTACACAAAAACACATATGTTCTCTCTCTCTCTTTCCCTTTCTGTCTCACACACTAGGATCTGCATATGAGTGA